GTTTGAAGCTCAAGGTATGGGGTTTAGGGTTTAAGGTATAGGGTTTGAAGCTAAAGGTACAGGGTTTAGGGCTTAGGGTATAGGATGAAGGGCTTTAGGTATAGGGTTTAGGGGTAAGGGCTTAAGGTATGCAGTTAGGAGTTCAGGGATTTGAGATGTAAGGTTTAGGGTTCAAGGTTTGGGCTTAAGTTACAGGAGCTTAGGGTGTAAGGTTTAGCCTTTTAGGTGCAAAAGTGTAGGTCTTAAGGGTTTGCGTTCAGAGTTTGGTCTGTAAGGCTTCGGCTAGATGGTTTTGGGCTTAGGTGTATTTAGATGGTGGATCCAGGGAAAGGTTTGGGGCATAGAGGGGTACAGCTTGTAGGCACGGTCTTGGAGTGTAGCTGGAGTGCCGGGATTATGGGTGGGGATGTTGAGGTCAAGGGAGGGTTTGGGGTTTAGAGTGAAGGGTTGAGGGGTTGTGAATGTCCTCCCATACTTTCTTCCATTGTCCTGTGGCCCGCACCAACCTGTTTGTAAACCCTGTACCGTTTTTGGATGATGAAGCTACCGGCGCTCACCCCAAAAAAGCTTGGGGACGGTACAGGCCAAATGGGCATTGATATTACTTATTATGATGACTACGATTAATCTGATGACTTCCATTCCAATAAATGATTCTATTACACTTCTACTACTTATACTACTATTCATGGGATCCAGCACTCTAAAACCACCTTTCAAGGCGTCGGGCAAAGTTCTAACACGAAAACGCAAGTGCGATCTAGGAGTCCTAGGACACTATAGGATATTACTACAGGGGCCTAAATAAAATAATTACCAATATCATTTCGAGGTCCAGTTGAGATACCATATACTATCATTACACACGGAATATGGAACCATAATATTGGTAATTATCTCGGCCCCTATAACCCCTATATCTTCCCTAGTTTCCACTTTATTTTCCATGTGATTCTCCATTATAGTCCCTATATAACCCTGGAACCATAATATTGGTAATTGTTCCCTAAACCCTAAACCCTATATTACCTGCTTGTAAGTTAGGCTTCCCTTACATCAGCTAAAGGCATCCAGACGAGCCTAGGAGGTGCCCGTCAACGCCATGAAGGTTTAGGGTTTAGGGTTTAAGGGATTTCCTACAACACATCGCAACACCCTCCTATCATCATTACTACCATTTCACAATTCTTTGTAATTACAATACTTTTCCTGTTACCCATAAGATTCTTATGACCAATACTGATACAAATACGAATACTAATATGAATGCTAATTTAGTATTCATATTAGTATTCGTAATACTAAACCTAGTTGTTGATAAGTACTACTATTGTTATTGCTACTCTTACAACGCGAAAAGTAGTACAAGGCCAGGAACAGAAACTTTCGAGAAGAGCGAGAAGATCTCCAGCGCACGCGACCAGAAGCCTGGGTTGCTGCTAAAGCACCCAATTCAAGTTACTATATTAGGGAAACCCTACTACTTACAACTTACACATATGCATATATATATATATATATTTTTCCCATTATGGGAACTTAAGCCCTAAACCCTAATCCCTAAACCCTAAATAGTCATTATGGTAACTTAATGCAAGCCAGTAGCTGGCTTGAGAGCATAAGCTCATGGCATGGACGCAATGGAAGGTATGGAGCGGTATCCTCTGGATTTGGGGTTTAGGGGTAAGGGTTTAGGGGTTCAGGGTTTAGGGTTTAGAGTCTCCAGAAACTTCTTGGGACTTTTGGGGCCTCCTGGGACTTCCATGTTTTAGGGTTTAGGGTTTGGGGTTTAGGGCTCTCAAAATTAAAAGGTGGCTCCCCCCCTTACATGCACCAAAGATTTCGACTATTGCATTAATGCTGTCAAAAGCATAGCTGTAAAAAACGAATGCCAACTGAACCACCTATCCCCCCCCCAACCCCTAGAAAGCAAAATTCCCTGATGACGAAAGTGGGAAACTGCACTCCTCTCCGAGTATGCCACCTGAAGGAAGTCCGAAATGCTGTCAGCTCCCTTCGTGCCAGCATGCCTGGGATGATTTTAGGGTTTAAGGTATATAGGGGTTATATAATGTAGGGGTCCTATAGGGACAATGGAAAAGAAAATGCAAACTACTACATAATAATAGGGTATATATCCTAAGCCCTAAATCGTAGTTTCCATTTTGTTCATTTAAGGTTTAAGGTTTAGGGTCTAGGGCTTTCTGGTATCCAAAGGTCCTGAGCTGGAGTCTAAGCCTTTCGGAGGGATTCGGGCTTAGGGTTTGCGGCTTAGGGTTTGTTACCATTACTTTAGATTTGGGGGGGGCAGATTTTAAAATCTGAAATTTCAATATTAAGACAGCAACGGTAAGTTTATATGGGCTTGAGGGTTTAAGGTTCAGGGTTGACGGTTTAGGATCCTCAGTTGGCCAAATTGGTTCTGGGTTTAGGGCTTAGGGATGAGTTGCAGGGAGATCTTTCCACAGACCAACTGCTGCCCAGGGCCTCTCCTGACCTTCAAACTCGGTTTAGGGTTTAGTGTTTAGTGTTTTTGGAGGACCTACAAATTCTAGTGTTTGCGGTTTGGGGTTTAGGATATTCCCTGTTCCCTCCTTGTGATCTCATTAAGCATCTCAAATGTTGCGAGGAAAGGGGATGATTTCCTATGACCCCTAGATAGTCCCAGCGTCCATTGCATTTTCCATCTTCAGGTCCATTTGAGTCTCCATTATTGGGGGTAACATCCCGGAATATCCACGAAGCCTAGGCGAAGCCCAGATACGCAAGCGCATCCGTAGCCCAGCCGCTGTTCCAGAACCGACGCCTGACGCTTCAGGTTCAGGAGGAATTTAGGGCTTGAAGCTAGGGCTTAGGGTTTAGGGTATTCAGAGTTACGCTCCCAGGTTTCGGTGTACACTGCAAGGTTGAAGCTGTGGTGTTCTTAATCCCTGTTCCGTGGGTTCTCGGGAGATTGGACATGGTAATTGGGAATATAGGCACAGCCTGACATGATTGTTCAGATTCCTATGGCTACGCTCCGTAATATGCTAGGCTGAATCCTAGTCCGCTCACACCATCTTATTGTCGAATATCTGTGCGTGGCCCCTGAAATGGACACCCCATGAATCGACTAGTCAGAGTTGTTGAGGAAAACTGTACACCTGAGGAATGAAACCAACCCGCGCGAGCGGTGTTTTTTGGGCGGTTGAAGCAAGTACGATTATATAGTTCTTGAAAATGGAATGCCTTGCAAGGCGTAGATAACCTCACTCTATGTAGGCCGGCAATATCTTGATTACACCTACTACTAATAGGGGCTTCAGGGAGCGGGGCCCCAAACCCTACACCCCAATTGAAACCTAAGCCCGAAACCCTAAACTCACTAAACCCAGAACCCTACACCCTAAACCGTAAGCCCTAAACCCTAAACCCTAAGCCCTAAACCCTACACCCTACACCCTGAAGCCTTGAAGGTTTTGCAGGGAAGGCCTGGGTCGCAGGGCTGCCTCCAGGGCCTTCCGCCGGATGTCTGCACTGGAAGTGAGAGCAGACCTCTGGAGCTTACAGTTTCCCATATATATATATAGATATACATACATGTATGTATATATATATATGCATACGCATATACATATGCAGACATGTATATGTATATGTGCATGTGTATATATTTTTATATAACTGTGTATATATATATGTAGATGTATGGGTATATGTATATGTAAGAGCTATAGGGTTCAGGGCTCAAGGCTTGGAGGATTAGGTTTTCGGGTTGAGGGTCCCTTTCGGGACCTAGGGAGCGATGGGTGAGTTGCGAGCAGGCCTTAGTTTGTGCAAGCCCACATACGGACAATATAGGGATAGAATATAGGGTTATTATCTCGAGTATAATATAGGGGTATATAGGGATGATGGAAAAATGAATACTATTTAGGGTTTAAGGGCTTGGAGACTTTGAGAGACTCCCATCTAGGGTCTAGCGGCTTAGACGTTGAGGTCCTGGGGATTTGGCGGCTTGGCGTTGCGGGGCTTAGGCTTGGAGCCTAGATTCAAGCGTGAATAGATTCAAAAAACACAGAGAGATATAAAGAGACTATAAAAAGCAACGACGCAAAAAGCTGGATGGGGACATCCGATATGCACCTGTGATCTTGATGCCATCCCTACCATGATCTCAGCACCAAGGATTCTTAAACGAGGCCTCCAATGAATGCCCTGCAAGGCACAGGAGGTCCTGCGGCGGAGGAGGTCGAGGACAGCGCTCTGAAAACCGTTGGACTCTGGCACATCGCATGCGCCACGAAAGTGACCCCAGAGACTTTCATCCATGACCTGGTCGAAGGACTTAGAGCGCACTTTGGGATGCAGGTTGGTGCAGGATTTTGAGGATTAGGCTTTAGGGCTGTAGCTGTAAGAGGTTGAACTCCCAACAGCCATGCCGCCAGTGTAGGCACTTAGAATCAACCCAAATGAGTAGTGCTTGTTTTTTGGCGGTTGAACCTAGTAAGATAATAGTCCTTATAAAAAAATTACTATACCCAAAAGGAAGATATACTCTTACTCTATAGTGGGTACCATAGTTTCCCCAAATAAAATACTACTCAAATACGGACAACCCATCTTCCTTCAAACTCTTGCTTCGGCCTTGAAGGCTGCTGGCAGTCAGTTGCGCTTCACAGCTGCAGCGGCTGCACGTGGGCTGTAGCTTTAGGCGCCAGGAGATTTAGGGTTTAGGGTTGTGGAGGTTTTGGGTTAGGGGCTTGCGTATAAGAGTTTTGCATGAACTCAACACTGCGGATTGCAAGGCCCAAAAGGCCCAAACCCTGCTGCACCAAACAGGCATGCACAGCTGCAAACACTTCTTGAAAGGATCTTGGCAAACGGCAAGCACAGCAGACACAGCGCTGTCAAGAGAATGAACATTCACACACAATGGGTACCTGACTACCAAGATCTTTCGCCACCACCCTAATAGAAGAAGAAACACCGCGATTGCAGCATGCAATGTGCCCACGGTCCAATCCGAGCTTTCCCCCTCGATGGCAGTGGTGTTGAGGCCTCCAGCTTTCTCCAAAAGCAAACATGACTTGGGCTACACGGAGAACGGTATCAGAGCGTTTTCAGGATGACTTGCTATCCCAGAGCCCCCTCCTCTAAACGCACCCCCCCCCCCCTCCCAGGTCTTGAAATGCTCGTCATGGCCTACTTCTAAGACTGTAAGAGGATATGGGCATGATTAGCAGATAATCCAGGCCCCCTTTTATTTCTTAGGATCGGACTTCCTTTCAGAATACCAATGTTGTCCTGATTAGATTTCTATGCTGAACCGCAAGCACGCCCGCAAAGATCTTACATCAGCTGTCTGTACTGGTATCTTCAGCGGTGAAAAAATGAGGCTACAAGTATATTTGCGGAGTCCCCGCGACCCTCCAAGTACTCTAAACCCTAAACCCTAAACCGTGAGAAGCGTTTAGGGTCCCTGAGGATACACCACTTGAGAGAGACTTGTCATGTCCCTTCAAGCTGCCATCCATGCTGTAGTTAGGGTTTAGGTTTTAGTGTTAATACCAGGGTTTAGGGTTTCCGCATAATCGTAGCACAACTCTTGTAGAAGCCTAAATAATTCCCAATCTCACGGTCCCAGATTCCTTGTGTAATCACGGTATAGGGTATCCCAAGTAGGCCTCACAATGATATTGGTAATCATTTAGGTCTCTACACTATACTAGACATGGTTTCGGGCTTGAGAATGCTAACAGCAGCCGCTGAAGACATGCAGCACACCAAGAGAGAATTTAGAATCAACATCTCCCCAAATAACCTTATACATCCCCAAATATCCCTATATATTCCCGTATACCACTATGTATCCGCATATAGCCCATTGTATCTACTTATATACCCATAGAACCATGAAAACATGTATATATTTATGAATATTCATATATATATACACATAAACCCTAAACCCTATACCCTCAACCATATAACCCTACATGGGAAGGATGAGAACCGATGTAACACTGCTAGTCACAGGACTACTGCTGAAAGCAAAGTGGGGCTTCTCTTTAAAAGGAGCCCTGATCTGTGGGATGATTTGGGATTGCAAGGACTATCATAGTCTAGTATAGAATATTGTTATAGTAGATTATGATATATTATGGTATATAATAGAATACCATTATAGTATATTATGGGTCCCCCAAGGATTTGCCGAAGTTATCTGGCTTGCTGTTCAGGAGGTTTAGACGGCAACCGTAGTGCCTACGATACATGCACAGTCTGGCACATTATTTCAAGTTCCCCAAACCCAAAACCCTAAGCCCTAAACTCTAAACCCTAAACCCTAAACCCTAAGCCCTAAACCCCCTAAGCCCTAAACCAGTTGTTTTGGCAAACCCCCCCCAATTGACTCAAACGCAATGGGACTTCGTGGCTCCACCTGCCCGGCGAGAGGTGACCAGGGACCAGCCGGGGAAGTAACCTTCCGCAGGTCCCTTCAAAGGGCTCATATAAGCTATAGTGGTTTAGGGTTTAGGGTTTAGGGTTTAGGGTTTTTAAAGGGGTTTATGTAAGGGATTATTTAGGGCTTAGAGTCTAAACTCCTTAAAGAGGGTTATATAGGGGATCATGTTCAGGAGAATACGAGCAGTCTAGACTATACCTCACATGTCATATATAGCCCCTACATGAGCTGTAGTCTAAAGTCAAAGTATTCCCCTCAAACCTCAAAACCCTATAATCCTCCCCTATCTAATCCCCTATATATACCCCTTTGAGGAATTTTCACTATAGTCCATGTAAGCAGGTATGTTAGGTCCCTTAAAAGGATTATAGGGACTTATGAACTTTTTAGGGTGTACATAGCTTAGGGCAGAGGGGGAATCAAATGGAAAGGAAAACGGAAAGTGAAACGGGAACTGGATTTATGCAGGGATTTAGGGCCTAGGGGCCTAGAACAAGGTCGGCGCATTCCAAGTCTCATGTTATCAACTAATTAGACTGTAGTAGTATCTCCAAGAGACTGCAAGATATTACCTGGCTAGAACTTCTTCCCTACCTAGGACACAGAAAGTATGAGCTCAGGTGCGTGGTAAGGGTTCCAAGGCTACCTAACTTTGCAACTTGCTTCACAAAATAACACACAAATATCTTAAGCCAAGACCTTGGGTTTCCACAAATTAGGGGTCCCTTCTTCAAATCCCTGGAATAAAGGATTGTGGTAACCAAAAGTGGGAGTCCTTTCTTGAGTTGAAAGTCCCTCATTAGAATACAGGATCATGGTAAATGGGGTCTAATTTACCTGCTGGTTTTTAGTAGGGAGTAAAAAAAATCCCAACATAATCCTGATAGAACAGATGCACTTCTTCCCTACTAAGAACCAATTAGTTACCCCAAATCCTAAACTCTATTTCTGGAAGCTCACCACCCTAAACCCTAAACTCTAAACCCTAAACCCTACACCCTAAACCCTAAACCCTAACAGCGCAGCAACAACCGGGACCAGGACGCTGCAGTCCGTGTTGTAGACCAGCCTGCAGGTGATTCAGGAGGGTTGAGGGCTTAAAGTTTAGATAAACCCTAAACCCTAGATTTTAGGGTCTAAGGTTTAGGGTT